TCCGTCACACCGCTCGGTGTTACCCACTCGAAAAACTTGTGGCGATCCGCACCCCGCACCTCAAAGAACCCAACGTGCGATACGTCGAAGAGACCGGCGGCCTGGCGTGTGTGCAGGTGCTCCTGCACGACTCCAGGCGGGTAGTGAATGGGCATGTCGTAGCCAGCAAAGGAACCCATGCGAGCCTTGCGGCTCAGGTGAAGACTGTGCAGAACGGTACGACGAAGCGGAACAGACATCGGTTTAAGAAGCAAAAAGGGCTACGGAAGCAAAAACAAAAACAAAAAACAAAAGAAATGTTAATAATAATAAAACCTCACAGGCTGCAAAACCGCAATGAGACAATATCACCACCGCTTATTACGGTCAGTGGGTGTTTAAAACGCATACTAAAAGAATAGGTAGGAGCTCTAGTCACTTCAACCCGCGTTGCTTTCAAAATAATACACAGCGACGGCGTCTCAGTGCTATATTCTATTCGAGAAGCCGTATTTGCTCAGGATTTCCATCTTGCGCCGCTCCAACTCCTCAGGGGAAAGCAATGATGAGGCCGTGCTCGCCCCCGCTGCGGCTGTCACTAAAGCCCTTCCGGTTGGAGCTGCTGCCGTGTCTTTGATCTGCTCCGCCGCACACATGTCCTTGAGAATACCATTGACGTTATTCAACTCTGAAAGGGGCGCAGGCGTCCTAGCACGTGTATCATTATTATCATTAGTCGTCGCAACGGCCAAAAATGGAGGGCCCTGATGCAACGAGGGCGGCGAAACTCCCATCATAGTCATCAATTCCCCAACCCGTTTGATGTAACGACGACATGCGTCCATTTCAACCGTCATGGCGTCCCGCAATGCATCAGCCTCCGCCGTTGCCTTCGACAATTCCATCCTTTCTTCCCGCCGTGCCGCCTCCACCGCCGCAAGTGACGTCTGCAGGGATTTCACCTCCAGCTCCCGCCGCGCGAGGTCGTGTCGCAGTATCGCCACCTCTTTGCTCAGCTCGCCAAGGGCAGCCTCCATCGAGTCACGTGTGCGCTGCGAGTCTGCCACGTCCGTCAGCAAACGCTGCAGTGCCGCCTGCACGCCCGTCAGTGCCAAACCACTCTCGTCACCAGAACCAAAGCCACCACTAACGTGGACGTGGGTTTGCTTCAGCAATGAGCCCACCATTTCGCGCACCTGCTCGTGCAGCATATTCGCCACGGACTCCCGCCGCGAACAGCGTTCCTCTACAAGGCGTAATTTTGTGGTGAGTGCCGCCTCGTTCGCTTCCAACCGCCGCCGCTGTTCCTCCAGCCTCGCCCCAAACGTGCGTTCCTGTTCGTGTGCCTCCAACTCCCGACTCTGCTGCAGGCAAAGCAACTGCTCGTGTAGGCCCTGCTGTTTCTCCTTGTAGGCCATCAAGGCATTCGCCGCGGTCTGAACACGTGCTTGAAGAATCTGAATGGCAAGAACGAGACGCTGCAGCTCCTGTCGTACGGGAGAAGCGGCTGGTGTATGGGTCTCCGCCACCGCGTTGGCCCGCGCGCAAATAGCGTCACACGTCTCCGCGTCAATCATGCACGACGGAGCCTCCAACCCATCTGTCAGAGGCACAGCGTACCAGTCCTGGTGCTGTTGCCGTGGAAACTGTTTCGCCTTCTTGGATCCCTCCAGTTGCATGCGGAAGCGCTGCCCTTCACCCGATATCCCACCGCTTGTGCCGTGACATTCTTCCTCTCCATCCTCCTCCTCCTCCTCCTTTTTCCTCGGCTCGTTTCTCTGATCCTCACTGGGGGGCACCCTCACTTGCGACAGCAACGTCTTCAGACGCAGAATCACGGCATCCCGCACCCCCTGCGGCTGCGTTCCCAGCAATGCATTCATAGTCTTCAGAAAATCGTCCTCACCCGACACACCGGGAGGCGCCGTGGCGCATACGCTAGAAATCTTCTCCGCAAATCCCTCGTAACGGGCACGCTGCAGATTGATGGCATTGTGGAGGTGCTGGATCGTGTCTCTTGCCTCTGCCAGCTCACGCTCATAGGTTTGCACCTTGCCCTCAAGAGCCCTAATGGCAATGAAAGATGGAGAAGAAGACGGGGCAGACGCCACCGTCTCATTCTCCTTTATTTCGCTAAGAAAAATGTCGTACTCTTCCCTCATATCGAGCAGGCACTGACGTACCTCGTGATCCCGCTCCAGGCGCAGCATCGTCATCCGTACCTCAAACTGCTCCGTCATACGGGCCACCTCGCTCGTCAAAAGCGTACGCTGTTGCGCCAACATCAGCTGTGATGTGGCCCGCACATGGTCAAGCTCCTCCTGCAGCCGCGCGTTCGATACCTGCAGGCTTTGCGTTTTTGCCACGCCACCCCCGCTGCGGCCCCTCCTCACGGGTTCTTCCGCGTCACTGCTTGTCTTAGCCGAAGAAGTTGTCAACGCCGCATGCAGCGGGTAGGAGGAAGAATTGGCGGAGGCAAAAGGAGGTAAAGATGATGGTGACGACGATGACGGCGGTGGCGGGACTGGAGCGGACCCACCTGAGCGTTTTTCGTTTTCCTCCTCCTCCTCCAATTGCGTCCCTTCTTCGCATGCTGCGGGCAACTTCCCAACGCATAGAAGACTCTGTGGCGACTGCAAAAACTCCGCAATTCCGGCGTCGACGGGGTTCGCAAAGTCCACACAAAACTCCGAGTCCTGCGAAAGCCGCGTAAGAAAATAAAACAGCACCAACATGTTGAAGCAGTGACGTGCGTGGCCGGCGGCTACCGCCTGACGGTCACACAAATGCAGCGGCAATCCATTTCGCTCCATGACGCGCCGCAACGCGTCCCAATTCCGCTCCACGTCAATCGGCCCACGCCGCAGAAGACGGGGATCAACAGTGGCGGGAAAAAGACGACTCGCCAGAGCCAACAGCACGACCCCATCACGCAGGTCAGCGTACTTGTTGCAAGGTCGAATACCGCTCGCCTCTGCCGCCCAGAGAAGGAGCTCTTTCTTTCCAAGCGGCGCCATTGCCAACAGGGGCCTTCTGCCCTCCTAAACATCACATGTGGACATGTGGTATCGCATGCACAAACACACACGCATATGCGCGTACGTACACGCGTGTGGGCAAAAAGGGCGGGAGAAAGATGGCACACAAAAAATGCGAGCGCATGACGCACGCACAAAACAAAAAAAGCTGCAGAAATGTCCCCCATAAACGCCAATTCACGCAAAAAAAAAAAAAAAAAAACTAAAGGGCGAATGTAAACAAATCCGAGCGAGCGGAAAAAAAAAAGGAAGGAGGGAGTCTTACAAACGACAGAAAAGAAGAGGGGGTAAAAAAAAAAAAAAAAAAAAAAAGATATGTACCACGAGGAGTTGTTTCCCTCTCCCCGCTTCTGCCGGCAAAATTACTGGGCAACGAGAGGCTCGTAGTGTGGGGCAAACCGACGCACAATTTGGAGAATCTTATGCATTGCCGCGCCATACCCCTGCACTGCAGTCTCCTCTGCGTCGGCCTCCTTCTTGAGGCGGCCATTCTCCCAGAGCTGCAGCTTGTTGTTTCCTCGCTCTGCAAAGTGGTACAGGCCGCAGCCGTGCTTCACGTCATTCTTGTAGGAGCCAATAAAGTATTCTGTTTCCTGCTTGTTGAAAAAATACACGCCTATGCCGTTCATTTTTCCATCGCGCCAGTGGCCAACATATTTTTTGCCACTTTGTCCAATCACGTAGACCCCCCAACCGCTGTGTTTGTTGTGCTCAAACTGTCCGTCGTAGCTGTCGCCCTCGGGGTGCACCCAGTGACCGACACCATGTTTCTTTGTGCCGTAGTACTGTCCAGTGTACGTCGCGCCGGAGGGGAACTGAAAACTTCGCACCTCCGACGGTGGCGGCTGCACGCCAAGCTCCTTCGGCGCCACACTGCGCACCGCGGCCGTAAGTTCCTCTACCTGCACCTCAGCGTCCACCCGCTGCAGAGGCGTTGCCTCCTCCTCTCGCTGCAGAACGCCCTGATCCCACTCCTGAGATGTGACAAAGCCGTTTTCATAGCAGTATAGGCCATTGCCGTGCTTTTTTTCATGCGCGTACTCGCCAAAGTAGAAAGTACTATGATCGGAGGTAAAGTAGTACACACCCTCACCATGCATCTCACCCTCCTTCCAATGACCTATGTAGCACTTGCAGGAATCGTCAAAGCGGTAAATACCAAGACCCTCCTGCTTGTTATTGACATATTCACCCTCGTACGTCTCACCGTGTGGATGGTGCCAATGACCGCGGCCGTGACGCTTTGTTCCATTAAACGCGCCCTCATATACAGCACCCGACTTGTACGTATGTATGCTTGGCTGCTGCATCTCCTGATCGCCTGGTCCTTCCTCCGCCATCTGTACCCGCGTCCGTTGGTATCTTTTCTATATATATATAAACAAATGTAAAGGTAGAGAAATGTGTGTGTGTGTGTGTGTACACTATCGGTTGAATGTGTGTGGGCCAAAAATCTCTTTGGATCTCGCACACACGCACTCACAAGATAAGCCTCTTCTGTCGTACCTATTTTCCCTGCTTGCCTGCTTTCGCACCGGGCACACCACACATGACAAGCCGTGTAAAAAAAAACAGACACAAAAGAGACAAAAAGAAAAAAAGAAAAAAAAAAACGCACGCGTTGAGAGAAGAAATGGCGGCTTCAGGCCCCCTTCCCCTCAGAAATGAGAGGGAAAAGAAGAGGACCCGAAGCGCGGCATTCATGTGTTTTTTTGTGTGCCGTTTTTACGGGCAGAAGAAAAAAAAAGAAGAAAAAAAAAGAGAGAAAAAGAGAGAGTCAGATCAGCACCAAATAACAACACCTATTCTTTAAAACAAGAAAAAAAGGGTTTTTTTCTTTTTTTTTCTTTTCATTTAAAAATAAATTTAAAAAAGAGTGTGTAAAAAACAAAAAAAAAAAAAAAAGAAAACTAATTGGAGAGTCCTCCCGGTCCGTGAATACACGTTGCATCCCCCCCACAAACACACACACACACACGGGGTCTACTGAGCGATTTCGCTCGCCTCCTTCACGTCGTAGGGGCCGGACACGACGAAGCAGTGAGACTGCATGGAGGCCTGCACCTTTGGCTTGTCGAAGTAGTAGACGGAGCCGTCCTGGCGGTAGAATATTGCCTCGTCAATCTCATTGAACGGGGTGACTCCGAGGCGCTTCAGCACCGACTGCACCTTCTTCTCGTCGCCTGTGTTGCGGTGTGCCGCCTTGACGGTGCGGCGGATGGAGCCACGGCCACCTGTGCGAACAAATTCCGCGCGCTTGCGGAGTGTTTCTTGCGTGATGTTGGGCATGAACTCGGGGTAAAACCAGCTCGCTTGTGCACAGACGATAACGATAAAGAAGATAATAAAGTGTGAAAAAGAAAAAACGTTGAAAAGCATCTGCCCACAGAATAAAGAAGCAAAGCACAGACACAATGCAAGGAGAGAGAAAGCGAGCGAGCGAGGGAGGGAGGGGT